GAGAGAGAGACAGAGAGAGAGAGAGAGAGAGAGAGAGAGAGAGAGAGAGAGAGAGAGAGAGAGAGAGAGAGAGAGAGAGAGAGAGAGAGAGAGAGAGAGAGAGAGAGAGAGAGAGAGAGAGGAGAGAGAGAGAGAGAGAGAGAGACAGAGGACAGAGACAGAGAGACACAGAGAGAGGAGAGAGAGAGAGAGAGAGAGAGAGAGAGAGAGAGAGAGAGAGAGAGAGAGAGAGAGAGAGAGAGAGAGAGAGAGAGAGAGACAGAGACAGAGAGAGACAGAGACAGAGACAGAGAGAGACAGAGACAGAGACAGAGAGAGACAGAGACAGAGACAGACAGAGACAGAGACAGAGAGAGACAGAGACAGAGAGTGACAGAGACAGAGAGTGACAGAGACAGAGAGTGACAGAGACAGAGACAGAGACAGAGACAGAGACAGAGACAGAGAGAGAGAGAGAGAGAGAGAGAGAGAGAGAGAGAGAGAGAGAGAGAGAGAGAGAGAGAGAGAGAGAGAGAGAGAGAGAGAGAGAGAGAGAGAGAGAGAGAGAGAGAGAGAGAGAGAGAGAGAGAGAGAGAGAGAGAGAGAGAGAGTGAGTGAGTGACAGAGAGAGAGAGTGACAGAGAGAGAGAGACAGAGAGAGAGAGAGAGAGACAGAGAGAGAGAGAGACAGAGAGAGAGAGAGACAGAGAGAGAGACAGAGACAGAGAGAGAGAGAGAGAGAGAGAGAGAGAGAGAGAGAGAGAGAGAGAGAGAGAGAGAGAGAGAGAGAGAGAGAGAGAGAGAGAGAGAGAGAGAGAGAGAGAAGGGGGGCAGAGAGAGAGAAACAGAGTGAGAAACAGAGAGAGAAAGAGTGAAAGTCAGACAGAGCGAATGAGAGAGAGAGAGCATGTGCAAGAGAGCATGTGTATTTGAGCGAGAGCATGAGTTGAACATGTGAGTGAGTGAATGAATGAGTGGGAATGTGTGTGCGTGTGCGTGTGCGTGTGCGTGTTGAAATTCATGTTGAACAAATTGAAAGTAGAACAATGAAGGGGAGTACATGAAAACAAAATGCCGAAGGTCTTTTCAAATTTGTTGCATTATCAGGGCATGATGAAGCCCTGATGAAGCAATAAATGCGAAAAGGCCTTTGGTACATTCGTGTGTTTTCCTGTAATCCCCTTCGTTGTTCTACTTGCAGTATGTACATGTGCACATAAAAGGCCATGAACCTATGTGTGCATGTGCATTTAAATTTGCATGTGCACATATAGGTGCTTACATAGGTACCTATACATCTCCCCTTTTATGGAAAAAATATATTTCCTTCAGCCTTTACCCCAAATTTGTTTAACCTCACACTGGACATTTTTCAATTTTGGGGTCATTTATATATAAACCCATTTTCTATTAATTTGTTCACATTCATTCTATGCAACTTGTGTGAAGGTACAGGATCTCAAAATGGACAAACAACTGGAAATGCTTGGCAAAGCAGAGAAATTTTGTTAGTCTCCTCTCTATGAAAGAATGAAACCTACATGCCAGAGCAAGCCAGTGGCTATCACACAGGATTAGGTACCTGGCAGATATGTCGCACTTTGTCCAATTTTTTGCTCAACAATGCAACCATAATCTATTCCATGGTCTTAGACACAAAAAGAACATTGGCTTCAGTCTGGCTCACACAAGTTTATATTGCAAATATTTGATGCAGATCAGGAGAGACTTTCAAAAATCTTAAAACAGCTTACTGCTCAAATTGCTGTATGTCTGTTCCATTGCTACAATATCAAAATTCATGTCAGGGAAAATCAAGACCAAATCATTCTTACTTTTCACATACAGGCCCTTTCTATTCAGAAATTACTTTATTAAAATCCCCTCAACATATGAACAGATATCACTGTTCTGGAAACTAAGGCTTATCTTATAGTTGCTATAGCCTGCAACTAAACTAATGCTCTTGGCTTGCTGTGGAACCACTAAATTCCAAGTCCAGATAGTTATTTCACTAATGTCTTATATTTTTCTATCTTCCATTCATCTTCAAAGACCTAGAGATCTTCCTCCTTACATAAACTATCCAAGTAACATCAACCATATTCACAAAATAAAGTAAATGCCACATAACACAATGGAAAATGCTTTTGTTGTTAGAATAACTTATACTACTAAACTCTCAACAAGGTTTTATCATTGAACATTCATGCCTCCAAGCAGACAATCAGAAGCTGTGCCAATTTTTTTCTAATCAGGCAATGAATAACAAACTCCCAATGCTCTTTGTCAACTAAAACTCTGCTTTGTTTCATGGCCTTCTTTGCAGAAACTTCAACTTTCTCAAAAAAGTATGACAAAATGTCACCAATTGAGGGCAAAGAATGTGGGACAAATATCTTGCTTTCTAACATAGTGTTTTTAATACTGCTTCTTGATAAGAGAAATTTCCAGATGGCACTGATAACAGAATCCTGGCATTCACTTTTATTTATTTGGGACTCCCAAAAAACTTTTTCTTCATGACAATCAAATACATTCAAGACTATATGAATTTTAAAATATGAGTAAGAATAAGAATGTGAATAATACTGAGAATTAGAAAAAGAAAGAAGAGAAGTAAGATTAAAAAGTAAAGAAAGAATAATCAAAACTGCATGATAAATATTTCTTTAAACAAAATACCCTATACTACATATGTTATCAATTAATAAATTCTAAATGCAAATTCACTTAAAGTTATAAAACCAATAACCCATGCATATACCATACCAACAGATTACCAAAGCAACATTCCAGTTCTATCTAAATAATTAATATATAACAGTCAAGATGACTTAGGTAAATAACACCAAGTCAAGAAGTAAGTTAGTTGGTAAGTTCACTGTGCTTTAAGTTAAAAAGTTGGCATAAAGGTGAGCCTACAGCTATTTAAATGATAAATAACAATACCAAGGGAGTGTGATATGTTGTGTAAGACAGAAAAGATAGATCTGTGCTTAGCTTCAAATCCAATTAATGGACCCTAGGGATTAGAAGTTACTTAAAGCTTTAATCATATTATACATGTATCCTTTACCTTACTACTATATAATATATACACACAACTTTCACTCAGTTTTTCTGCTAAAAATTCAAAGCAGATTTTACCTGCCACACCTTTGTTGTAATAAATCCATTGGCACTGCCCCCTGTGTCTTTGTTTCACATTATATTCACATACATTGCTCCACAAGCACTCAAGACACCATGGAGTAAATTATTACACACACACCTGATTTCACCTGTTTATTCCATTACTTGAATTTTCAGGAAAGAATATTTCGATCATTATTGTTACCACCATTAATTTCATTATCATTATCATCATTATTATCATATTTTCATTAACAATACTAATAGCAATAACAGTAAAACTATTCTTCTCCAAACATTCAAGGAATGGGGTAGGTAAGAAAGGTCAGCATAATAACTGCCTCTGGTCACTATGAACTTCTGGAGCAATCTATGTTTACACAAAGCTAATAAAACAAAATGAACAGTGGATAGAGCATGTATATATACACTCTAGGCATCAACAAGTTCATTACAATAAGCAAGAGGCCTCACAGAAAACACATTATTCAACCATTCCACTAGACAAAAGAGAAACCAAATGATATAGAAACTCAGTCACCTTTGCCTCAAGGACAAAAACTCAGCCCATGTCCTATAACAACAGCATTGTGAAATTCGTCACTAAAAAGCTATCACCAAGGATCTGATTCCTGCATCCTTCCTTACACTCAAGATATCATAACCTATATATAAAACTGATAAGAATTTTACTACCATAACGAATATGGCAATATTTCTTTCCCATCACACATGAATGCCAATATGAGTTGCTGGTAAACATTAGTCTTCTATTTCTACAAAATCCTGATGACCAAAATTGAAAGAATGCATTTGAACCTAAACATGAAAAGAAAAAATATCAAAAACTATATACCATTCATAACACAAAAGTCCAGCAAAGCCTTGAAATCCCCATTTGAAAAAAGTCTAAACCATTGCGCAGAAATATTTACTTGAAATTAAGTCTATACCAGAATGTTGAAAGATATAATAATTTCCCGAAAGAAGCAGACCTATCTTCTATGAATTCTTAATCATAAAGTATTATTTCAGCATTTTATCATGAATTTCAATGCTATAAATTTGATCCAGATCATCACCAAATTCTGATCAACTGGTTCCTGGCCCATAACCAACTGATCTATGTAGTTTTATCTATATGAATCATTTTTGCAAAATACTGCTGACAAACCACCCAATAAATGCCAAGCAAAACAAAA